CTGTGTTGAGCGGAACTTAGTTACAGTTTCTGTGAGAAAGCCTCTATCATCTTATATGATCAACTGTTTGAACAAGGTTAATACTGTGACGATGATTTGTGACTTGGTGCCATCACAACCATCGACGAATCGCAAACCTATATACCAATTTTCCCTCACAAGACATTGTTTTCTATGCGCTCTGTAACGATGCCGTAGCTGGAATTGCCTCACCAACCTGATCACCTCAAGATGACATTGCTGATAAATCCAACATGGTGAGGTTCGACCCTGCCTTCAAGGTCAAACAATAAAATCTTCTTTCTTGTGTGTCTTTCTTTTAAAAATCAATTTATTTCCTGTGTTTTGTGCATTTCAACCAGTCTGAAGATACAGTGTAAAGCAACTACGACATAAATTTTAGTTTATAGCTGGAAAATTCAAATGTAAGGTTTTTCTTTGAATTTTGTCGTAATTATATATATATATATATATATATATATATATATATATATTACTTATTATAAAACGCAGATTGTGTGTGTGTGTGTGTGTGTGAGTGTGTGTGTGTGTGTGTGTAACGTTTATATATTGAATCGAATTTCCTACATTTTTTAGCCGATTTCAACAAAACTTCACAGGACTACATAAAATTACCTTGTGGTGGTTCTAACGGCACCGAAAATGGGAAAAACACATTTGTTTTTTAAGAAAATCAATTTGAAAACACGATTAAGAGACATCGTGAGAATGAAAGGGGGACAACTCACCCACGAAAATGTAAACAAATGAGCATAGCATGATGAAAAAAAAGCCGAACTTGACGAAAACAAAAATTTATTGTCTAATGTTCATATTATTATTAAAGAGGAAAGATCAAAGTATTTTGGGGGTATTTTTTTACATTTTTTAATCGTTCTTAGCACGTCTGAAATTTTTGTTAAAAATATTGTTTTTTTTGGTCAAAAAAGGGCAGATAATCATTTTCAATCATTTTTTGCGATTTGATAAAAAAAGATTAAAATCTTACTTTGATATTCTTTTAAAAGTCAATTATCATTTTTTCAAAACTGATTTTAATAAAAACAGTTATTATACTGTTTATTTAAAATATTTTGAACCAAGCTTAACTTAGCTTCTGCGCCGAAAAAATGTAATTTGAAAATAAAACAAAGCAGGTCATAACCTTTCGCGTCGCTTGACGATTGACGAAAGGCACATTCATGACGTTTAGATAACTTCCGGGAGGAGAATTCTTTCTACGGATGGAAGGAAGTGAAATTACTTAAGTGAACAAATTATTTACCTTGTTACTTTTAAGGAAAACTTTCAGCGCTCTAATTTTTTTTTTTTTTTATTTTGTACTTAGCTTTCATTTTTACGTTTACGATGCTTTATGGAAAATATAAAGAAATTAAAAAATAAGACTGTTAATAGTGAGATTAAATTTCATAAGAAAAGGTATCTAATTAATTTAGGTACCTTTCTTATGAAGGTTTATCAGAAGTGTACATAAAATACTATAATTTTATGTACATTTATTACATTTTACTGTGTTATTTGTATTTCCATTCATTTTATTATTAATTTTGATATTTCATTTATGGAAAAATGTCATAACTGAGATTAATATAAAAATAAGATCATATAAATTAAAGTTTAGCAGTAGTTAAATTTCATAAGATGATACTGTTAATTGTAGGTACCCTTCTCAGTTGAAATTGAAAACTCAAATTAACTTCTCCATACGTGTTTCGCAAAAGTAAAGGGCTTAACAGCGGAGAACAATGCTGAACTCAAATAATGCAACTAAATTGTATTCTGGTTGGTCTTCCGTACTTGATAATTACTGTCCGACTATAAACACAAAAATTACATTTCTTAATTACCATGGCTAATCTGATTGGTCCAAATTATACAATTTTCAAAGCGCTAGACAATGACAATCTCACACGGACATTTTGAAAGGTTGATGTTGCTTTTAACTAATGTTAAAATATTTTTTTTTAATTCAATTTAAACATTTTCTAAAAATCTTTTTTAAAATTAAAGAAATAAGAAATAATTGTATTAAAATTCAATTTTCATTGAAAAAAAATTTTTGCTTTCAGAAAATATTGTCCATATTCATAAAAAAACAAATTAAAACAAATAAAAGCATTTGAAACTAAATAATATATTTGTTTTATTGAGTTTTTGTATGTTACAATTCACAGCTGATTTTCAGGTACGTTGCCAAAAAAAAAAAAAAAAAAAAAAAACATGATTTGCATTCTTCAAAGCCTTGTGCTTTTAACTATTGTAATCACTAAAACCGATGGTCTCAAATTTCTAGAGCTTTTCATAAAATTAGTTATGGGGGTGTTAATAAATATAAAAAAAATATTTCTGCCATGACTTTAATAAAAAGTATATATATATATATAATAATTTCGATCATCTGTGAATAGTTTCTGAAAGTTTCATTAACATCTGACAATTATTTTTATTTTTGCAAGATTTTCCAAATTAATGTGTGTAAATACAAAAAATAAATGCGCTAAAAATTATGTTATTCTCTTTGTCGCAACAAGGGGTAGTAACCCCTTGTTGCGACAAAGAGAAACAAGGTTTTTTAAATCAAAATTTAGAATATTCTAAAAAGATGGAAATTTTTTTTTAAATAATTAAAAAAAAATTTAGCCTATCCTCTTCATAAAAACATAAGCATTTTGACGATAAAATTTTGTTTTCATAAACTTTGGCGTCTTTTTTCATCAGACTATGCTCTATGTTTTAAGGATTCCGTGGAGTGACTTAGGTTAAAAACCCAGGTTGTTTTTGTGTGTGTGTGTGTGTGTGTGTGTGTGTGTGTGTGTGTGTGTGTGTGTGTGTGTGTGTGTGTGTGTGTGTGTGTGTTCCTTACATTTTTCAGCCGATAAAACAAACATCCACTTTTTTTTTTGGCAGTTAGTATTTCTTATTGTCTTGCACACTTTTTTCTTTATTTATACATTCAGAATGCTTTAAAAATTCCATTTACAAGACAATTGTTTATAATAAAATTCTAATTCTATTCAATCGGGGACTCATCATAACGATTGAAAACAATGTTTTTGTTTGAGTTTGACCAATTCGTAAAAAAAAACAAAAAAACTAAGACATGCGTGTCCGTCAACCTGAACAATAATCTAACGATCTCTACTGATTGTACGAATCGAAAAATCGGATAATTCTTTATCTTTAGGGAAAGATAATTCCACGTACTTTAGGGCCGTTTTTACAATTCCCTTTGCAATTTGTTACAAGGCAGATCAATAAGGCGTTGGTTCTATTTAAAATTAATTCAATATTTAAAAGAAAGTATTAAGAAATAATTTAAAAATGCCGACGTAAGAAATCTGATAGACAAAAAACAACAATATTTCGAAGATGATAATTATTAAGGAAAAAACACAGTACTTGTAATAAATTAATAAACCCAAATAAAGTTAATATTTTTTGTATTAGAAACAACGAGTGGAAAATATATTCAATTTTTTTTACTGCATTCAATAAGTAAAAATCATAAATTGTAAAAGATTACAGAGAATGGCTACCTACATTTTTCAACTGATTTCAACAAAACTTCACTTTTTTTTTTGGCAGGTCGTGTTTCTCATTGTCTTGCACACTTTTTTCTTTATTTATACATTCAGAATGCTTTAAAAATTCCATTTACAAGACAATTGTTTATAATAAAATTCTATTCATCAATCGATAGACTCATAACGATTGTAAACAATGTTTTTGTTTGAGTTTGGGTTTGACCAATTCGTAAAAAAAACAAAAAAAACTAATTAAGACATGCGTGTACGTCAACCTTAAACAATAATCTTTGTCAATTTTATTTTTCAGTCTTTATGATGGTCGATACTTGATCTATCTCTTACTGTTACATCCCCGGGCAACGCCGGGATCTACTGCTAGTATATATATATATATATATACATTGTCCTTTCTGTTAATTTGCCTCTTCTCCAGATATACTCCATCCATGTAACATTATTTACTCACACACGGACACACACATATATATTTTTATGTGTATGTGTGTGTGTTTATATGTGTGTGAATTATGTATGTATCACTTTAAACGTTATTTTTAGTTGAAACATTTATTTGAGTAGTTGCCCGATTTATATAATAAACAGTATAGTTATATTCACATGCCAGCCTGAAGCTTTGAGCGTGGCCAAAGCTGTATAGGCGCACCGGGCGAAACGGTGACACTCTCTAGTGTGAAAGATGCAGGTTCGATTCCTGTCGAAGAGCGCCAATCTTTCTTTAATATGATTTCTCGGAATTTCAGGATGCTTGGTGGATATAAATAAATATACTGTTTAATAAATAAACGGAACGTCTACTGAAATGCGAATATCAACTAAAAATAACGTTCAAAACTATGAAAATCTGCCGGATTAATAAATCCATTCTAATATACATTTGATTTTTTTGCAACACTCTGACGTATATGGGATATATTATCTTTAAAAAAGGAAATGCAAAAAACAATATAGCATTTTTATTAAATAAGTATTTGTTATTTTAATCATTAAATTGTTTTAATATTGGGACTATTTTATATGTTAAATACTAAAAATTAATTTTAAAAAAATGAAAAATTATTGTACTAAGCTACGCGCCCTAGTAAAATCACCTCGACTTTGTACCTCGTTATCTGCTTACATTTCTCCCTCAAAATGTGGTTACGCTCGGTCAATGTACGAAACAAATGCTTCGGACAACTCTTCATTGGCAACTGAGAAGAGAAACACACAGTAAATAAATAAAAAAAACATGGAATGACATGTAATATCAAAATCTAAGGTAATATTGACAGTGGCCAAGGTGAACAGAACAAAGCAGCAGGACCAGTTATAAGATTCAGTCAACCATAAACGATTTCAAAATAGAAAATCAAATATACGATAGCGGCGAAATACCGGAAGAAGAAAGTAAATAAAATCCCTCTTCATAGCTATGATATACCAGAAAAAGCCAAACATTCATCCCTCATTCATCCCTGCGGTCAACGTAAGCGTCCCCCAGGAGTCACTCCTCGGACTAACCCTCTTTCTGATTTACATAAATGATGTGTCTAAGAATTTGTAAACATCTATGTTGATGATACGACTATATACGGGTTTATATCTGAAAAACACTGGATGGTCAGAGATCGGCGACTGATCTCTCTTCCGATCTTGCCCAAACAACCCAATGGAGTAAAAACCGGCTAGTTATATTCAAGGTCACGAAGACCAAGCTAGTTACAATCCATTATCGCCGATTTTATCCCGAATTACGACCAATCAGGATGAACGGGTGTCTCTTCGAGATGGCACCATACCTCGAAAGACTATTGGGCCTCAACCACGTACCCGATCTCAAACGGAACTTTTACATACGATCCTTTTACTAAGGATGCTGATAAAATGGTCGGATCCCTGACTCTTCCTGCTAACCTCAACCTTTAGAAGAGTCAGATCAGGGCAAAAATCCGAAGCCGCATAGAAATTGCGAAAGATACCTTTCCGAAGAAAAGCTAAGTATTGAAAGAAACAAAAAAAAAATACAAATGGACTGCTATGTCATACCTGTCCTCCGGTATGGCAGTGAATGCTTGAAAATTTCTTAACACATAAAGAAGCGACACAAAGTGAAAGACATGTGTTTCTACAGAAAGATGCTGAGAATACCATGGTCAGAATGTGTGCCCAACGAGGAAGTTTTAAGGAAAACAGAAATTGAAATGACACTTATACGTAAAATCAGAGGCAGATTTTTTAGGATATATAATGCGGAAAGAGGGCTAAGAGAATTTAGTACTTACATGAAATATTGATTGAAGGAATGGCAGAGCAGAACATCGAATAAATAAATTAAATATTAGCTGAGATAAAGAAAAGATAACATAACAAGAAGAAAGAGAAAGAAAGAAATGCAAATAGATATAAATTAACAGATATAGGTAGATAGAAAGAAAGAGATACAGATAGATAGATAGATAGATAGATAGATAGATATAAACAGGGAAAGAGAAAAAGAAGATAGATATGAACAGGGATTCACAATAACTGATAACCATAAAGTTGAATTTAAAAATAAAATATACATATTTATTTTTAAACTTATGCGTAAACTTAGAATGTACTTAGAATGTAAATACGAAAAGCAGGTCAATGCAATACCGAAATTGCAATAAGACAGGCACAGGAATGATCGAAAGTGTGAAGGAAAAGTATACAGACAATGTTAAAAGCAGATCCAATGTAGAAAATGAGGACGGAAATATTAAGAGATAATTTAGTAACATCAACAAACGAGACCGTCCCAAAGAAAAAAAGGAATGGATGGCAGGTGAAATTTTTGACTTGATGAAAAGGAGACAAAAAACAATGCCAATGCACGGCACAGAATATAGGAGATTACACAAAGAAATCAGCAACAAGTACAGGTAGGCTAAAGTGGAATGGTTCAACACGATATGTACAGAAATATAAAGAATGAGCATTACAGACAAAGCAGATAGGGATAAAAATAATAAGTAGGACGGAACGATGATATCAGAAATAGAAAATACTTCAGCGATGGGACGAATATATCAGAGAATTCTTCCGCATCGAAAAAGAAAAACCAGTAAGATGCAGTAATATTAAAACCTGTAGTGGAATCAGCACTGGACAAATTGAACAAAAACAAAGAAGCAGGATTGTAATAGGGATGTTGGTAGACTATTATTTCAGTATTGAAAATATTACGGACATAATAAATGAAATATATAACAGTGGTGAGATACCGGAAGACCTAAGTAAATCTGGCAGTATATCTCGGAAGATAATGACACGGCATCGCTGGGATGAGGGCTTCCAAGCCAATAACCTAGACTTACCCGGCTAGCATCAGCAGGCATATCTCCTTGACTAAGGCGAGCCTTCAAAGCAAAGGATATGAACTGTGTTTTGACCTGCTGAGGAATGGATACCGCCAGGTATACTTGTACAAGACAAACTTCGTTTGAATGAATACTGATCCTACTTTCTATACTTCCTGTTCGCAGGTTTATTGAGTTATTAAAAATAACAGCATAGTGCCATTATTTTTTTTATTTTTTATTTTTTCACAAATTTTTCCGGCAATTCTACAGACCCAGAATTTATTCACTGGCAGCTTCTTAGTAAATCTCCTCCAGAAAACATCTCCCGGCCAATTCCCAATCAGAACTCTGAAGTATCTGTAGACTTTCAGTGTATCATCAAGACGACCTAATAAAAAGGTAACACCATCAAGCACGCAAAATTGTTCCATAGAGTATGTGATACGGTTCGATTAGAGTTCGATTTATCAACTTTGTAAATTGAAGTGTAATCCATCCGAGCCACAGTACCACTTGATTAAAGGCATAAATGTTGGTCGAGACAAGAGACCAGTTAGGGCGTGGTAGCTAAAGAAGTCCAGAGATGAAGTGTTGAGATGCACCCTCCCAATTACCGGAAGTGTGTCCGTCGTAAGGTGGATGAAGAGACGAGAATGATGATAGCCCTTCAGATTAAAAGTGACGGGTCATGTGAATTCGAAGCTACTTCATATCCAATGGCAGTAAAAGGTCAAGTATGTCCCCATTAATTAAAGATAACCAGAAAGATTAGATCGACTGGAACAAACAAATGAACTGAAATAGATTAAGACACACACACGCAAATATATATATATATATATATATATATATATATATATAACACCAAGAGATTTCAAGGAAAATTATAGATACATGAAAGATTTCCTTTCTTAAACTTTGGAATACCAAATGCAGCACGTTGGTTATTCAAGATCTTCTCCTATAACTCTCTCTCTCTCTCTCTCTCTCTCTCTCTCTCTCTCTCTCTCTCTCTCTCTCTATATATATATATATATATATATATATATATATATATATATATATATATTGGTTGGATAGATGTGAGTTTGTGACCTGGGTTTCACGCTTTAGCGATCGTCAGTCTGACGATCGCTAAAGCGTGAAACCCAGGTCACAAACTCACATCTATCCAACCAAATATGTTAGCTCTATCTCTGATATTGAGCGCTTTCTAATAAGTACCGCGCATATAATATATAAATAATTATATATATATAGAGACATATTTATTTATATTTATATACACACTTCTCACACTCACACACACACACACACATATACACACATATATATATATATATATATATATATATATATATATATATATATACACCGCAATCTCCGTGTTTCCTTTTTGTCGCCTGGTTAATGTTAATAAATGTTTTCGTACTGATTTCATTTGTACCCTTTCGTTTGACTTAGTTTTTTATATGTCCCGGAAAGAGATATATTTGATCAAAGTAGCTAAGTGGGTTTTGCTACTATAACCAAGTAGTACACGGTAGCAGTAATCGACTGGTACTCGTCGTAGTCGCAGGTAATAGGTGTAGACCAACAGGATTGCCAATGACGTAGTCCAATGGGCCTCGGCATAGACTTAAACTCTGTCGTACCTACACGTCCGTCTGTATTTATGCTCGGACACCAGCCAATTATATTCCAGTGAGGGAGAACTCAGATGTATGCATATTCCATTATATCACTTTTATTAACCAATTTACCTACTCTACTTTATATATATATATATATATATATATATATATATATATATATATATATATATATATATATATATATATGAAATCTCCAGCACACTCTTCTTTATTAGGCAATGAAATCCTTTACGAAAAATATATTATTAACATCTTTACTATAAAAAGTATTTTCCTAATTTCATAGGGTCATTTAGGGGGCATTTTTGCCCATAGTTGGAACCCTAACTGGTGATACAACACCGGGTCAGCGGCAATTAAATGGTGGTTCTACGCTCCTCAAAACCTCCAATCTCCCGATCAGAGGTCTTGCTGTCGGATGTAGTTTATCGTCAGACCCAGGACTAAATAGCCGAAGGAATCCTGTACTTACTGATGTGGTATAGGAAACCGAACATTTTACAGCATCTTCATCGATGAATCACATGTATGACTTCCACTTGAGGTTTCGCTTGAGTTTAAGTCCCAAAATGCGCTCAATGCACGGGGCCTTTAGAGAGAATACACGTACATCGTGATGGCGAAATGTCACGAGTTTTCAAAGTATTGAATGTGACCAGCCTGTTTTCCTACACTGAGCTGTGAAAACTAGGTCAAAATTGAGATCAGTTATCAAGACCTGGACATCTAGAGATTTGAATATTTCGCTCTTCATTTTATATATATATAAAGAGCGGCTAGAAAACCAGATCTTAAAGGAGGCACACGATACTCAGAGGATACACAACGGATACACAAATGCACACAAGGAACACAACGTTGGTCATAGAAAAACGTTGAAAAAAGATCAAAGAAAAAAAATTAAAATAGGAATTGAAAACATAAACAAAATGAATCAAGAGAAAAACTGAATGTCACAAAAAGAGATTTGAGAAAATAAAATTGGATTGACGAGCAGAGAATAAATAATGCTTGTGTTGTGAATGTAAAATACATGCAAAGTGTCTCTGCCCAGTATTATATTATATTGTTTTGTCGGACATTATACATGTGGCCATTAAATCTTTTATTGAATTTTTCTCTGGTGCAACCTACATAAATCAAGTCATGTTTGATACATTCTGCGACGTAGTAGTAGTAGTAGTAGTAGTAGTAATAATAATAATGATAATGCTTTACCCTTCAATATTGAGCGCTGAAATTATCAAAACTGCTTCTCTAAAAAAGTCATCTTTTTTCTTTTATTTCTTTTTGCTATTTCCTTTTTATAAAACGATATCTTCGTTAGATAGATAGATAATGAAAAGTCGTAGAAAATGTGATATCCAGTTACATCGACACCCTCCTCATTTAAAATTCCCTTAATTAGGGTTACCAGATTAAGTTACCTTCCAATGCTCATTGCGACGACATACTGTATTTGGATAATTTGGATACTCGAGCTGATTTTATATGCATTTGGACTAAATCTGACAACAATGAGAACAAATTTAATTGATAACTTCATTGTTTTGATAATTACATATACAAGCGAATTCTCTTGTTAATATTCAACGTAGAACAACTGATCCTAATGAGATTTATATTTCATTTCGCCATGTTGCTCATATATACAAAGTGCGATGGGTAAATTGTTGCCCTTTTTATAATCTTAATTGCGGGCATGCTAGTTTTGTTTTTGACTTTGTTGATTGCAAATTACAGTAGGGTCAGTTGCGAACTGCCTGTGGTAAAAAGAGCACCATGACGCAAAACAATCCACCAGAAATTTGAAACGCTCCAACACAAATATTTCACAGTGTTTGGATGTTAATCTGAGGACAGTGCAGAGGATTCAGAAAGAGTTGGATGATATATCCAGTCAACATCATGATGTTTCGAGTGATGCCGACATTATGCCTCCATTCATCTTCCCACAAGGCCTCAGACTCAACACGGAGGCCTACATCGTGCCTTTTGGAGGTAGTGTTGCCCTGGGTCAAGAGGGTGGCTGCTGGAGGACCTTATGTTAGACAACAGGACTATGCACCCTGTCACACAGGCAGGAGATCCCAGTCATAGCTGTCGGACAATTTCTGTGATCACACCAGACATAGCCCAGACTGTAACCCCCTCCCCCTGATTATTATGTGCGGGTTGCAGCTGAGCGAGAGACCAACAAAACTCCTTGACCACCAAAGATGAACTGAAGGCAAGGATTATGGAAGCCTTCATCAGTCTAAACAAGGAGACCATCCAGAAGAGTTGCAGGAGATTCAGAAGTCGTCTGGAGAACGTGGTCCAAGAGAATGGTGATTTTATTGAATGAATTTACTCTTTTGTATTTCAAGATATTTTTGTGTAATTTTGGTAAATATATCTGTTAAAATGAGATGCCAGTGTTATTTTCATTGCTGCATAATTTAGACGACAATTTAACCACACCCAGTATATTTTGACATAATCTCTCCAAAAGCAGGCGTCAGCCTCTGCTGTAGAGTTAAAGTATTAGTTTTAACCAAAACTTTCGAAAAAAAGCTAGAGGGAGAAATAAAGAAAAGAGTGTACAAAATAGAGAAGAGGGTGAGAGAGAGAGAGACAGACAGAAAAAGAGAGAATGGAAAGAAAGAAAGAAAGAAAGAAAGAAAGAAAGAAAGAAGAAATGAATGAATGAATGAAAGTCTTTAAAGTAACAAAAATAGAAAAATAGGAAGGTTGATAATTACTGATAGAAACAATGAAAAAGAAACAAAAGAAAGGAAAGAAAAAACTTTAAAGAAAGAAGGAAGGAAGGTTGACACGTTTTAAATAAATAAAAAAAAACTATAGAAAAAAAAGAAAGAAACTAATACTTGAAAAAAAAAGAAGGAAGGAAGGTTGACACTTTAAATAAATAAATAAAAAAAGGCAGACAGACAGACAGACAGACAGAAAGAAAGAAAGAAAGAAAGAAAGAAAGAAAGAAAGAAAGAAAGAAAGAAAGAATAAATAAATAATGTGTTAAAGTAACAAGAGGGGAAAAACATTTCGAAGAAAAGGTAAAAGTCTTACGAAACATTGGAAGATAAAAAAGCAATTGATTAAATAAAAATAAACGCAATTCGATAAGAAGGAAACTCCATATTACAACAAATTATACCAGAAAAAAAAAGGTTTCCGATAAAAAAAAAAACATATTGGAGATTTGTTGAAGGGCAAAGCAGAAGTAGTTAAAGAAAGGAAAAAAAAGGTGACAGACTGGCTTTCTACGAGACATACAAACAACCAATAAAAAGATTGCAAGTCTCCATCATGTGTCGAGAGGCTACTGTAGAGGAGGAAACAGAAATTTCAAGATGTCATTTCCGAAACACGTCAAAGTGTGCCCGTATCTATTTTCAAGGTCGGGAAATATCCGGGGTTGCTGGTTCTTGCGGTTTTGTTTTATTTAATTATTTTTTTTTTATTTTTCTGTTTGACGAAAGCCAGTGGCTTGTGACCCACTCCACACGCAATTTGACTGACTCTCCAGGGAGTCCTTTTGGTTGTGAAGGCGGAGACGCGGATAAAAGGAAAAAACAACAAAAACATTGATACACGTGACCTAAAATGCACACCAACTCCAAGGAGCCCCTATCACTTGTAATCTACCTCATCCTCATTGGGATCTCCCTCAATCTACTAAAATACTCGTGTTTTTATCTATATATATATATATATATATATATATATATATATATATATATATATATATTATCTGCAGAGAGGTATCTGGATTTATCTTTCGACCTTCTATCTCTTTGGCTCTCATCTCTCAGACTTTGTGTAAAGATATTTAAAGAACTTATTGTGACACAAGGCCAAATGAAAGAGTTCATTTTTTTTTTGTCTGCCGCAAAATTCAGTATCGAAATTGTAGCTTTTGACAGAAGGCACCAATCAGTTTTATCAGGACAAAATACATACCAATGAAA